CAGTTCTTCCTGTTGTGTCGACCCCAACCATGAGATCATTTTCGTTGCTACTTCATAACTGTAATTTTGCTACTGTTTTGAATCGTAATGTAGATATCTGTGTTTTTGGATGGTTTCAGGTGACCTCCGTAAAAGGGTCATTCAAGCACAAAGGGGTTGTGACCCATAGACTGGGAACTACTGGTGTGGAAGAACAACACTGTTCTAGCAGATGACCAGAGTTTGGTTCCCAAGAACCCACACTGGGCATTTCACGACCACCTGGAACTTTGGCTCCAAAAATGTAATGCCCTCTTCCAGCTCATTAGGTACCGGAACATATCTACATACACACACACACACACACACACACACACACACACACACACACACAAATAAAATACATTCTTTCTTTTTATGTTTTTAAGGTTTTTTTTTTTAAAGATTACATATTTATGGAAGTTATACACAATTGGATCACCCTGGAGCAGTTGTGTTGATTTTAAACATCTTAAATTTATTTTTAACTAAGAAAAGGCCTTTTTTAAATTTATTTTCAGGACCAATGATTTTGAGTCAGGGTCTCTCAAGGTAGCCCAGGCTAGCCTTGAATTTGAGGTGATCCTCCTGCCTTGTCCTGCTTGGGATTATAGACCTGATCATAGTTCCTGGCTTGAACTGGGCTCTGCAAATTATGTAGTTGGCCATAGTAAGAAAAGCTGGCAAAAGAAGTGGGTGTCCATGCATAGAAGTGTGTGGGCCAGTTGGCTGGTGTTTGATGAATGAGTGAGTGAATAAGTGGGCGTATGAATCTAGGAGTATACATAGGAAGCTTATCTATGGAGGCTGTCAGAGGCCACGTGGACCAGAGGATGCTGCTCCGTCAAGACCCTTCACCCGCAGACAGTACCCCTGCTCAGTGGCTCCCAAAATCTGCACTGCTTGTTACATTTCTCAGGGCCTGCTGTGGGCTCCCAGGACTAGGTGGACCCGGCCTGAAGCAGTGCAGTGAATAACTAGTTAGGGGTCAGGTTTGCCCTAGTTCTTGTCTGAGAAACAGGGTAATCCCTCACCATGATGGTGGTGGTCATATCTTGCCTAAGAGGTCTGAGACTTTGGAGCTTAAACAATCTGGAGTTTAAATCTGACTTTGACACTGAGTGGATGCTGAGATGCTTAGGTAGACACTATATATAGGTGAATCGCTTCTCTAAGCCTTGGTTTCTCATCTGTGAAATGGGGAAGTAAAGAAAAGAAAGGGCTTGCCTGGTAAAGATTTGATAGTAACAAGATTCTGCCAGAATGTGGCTCAGTTGACAGAGAGCTTCCCTAGCATGCAATAGCCCTGGATTAGAGGACACTGCCCCCCCCCCCCCCAAAAAAAACCACACCGCATGTGGTGGCACAGGTCTGCAATCCCAGCACTCGAAAGGAGGCAGCAGGAGGATCAGGAGTTCAGGGTCAAAATAAAACAACACAAATAAAGCAAAAGCCTCAAACAAACAAAGAAACAACAACAACAAAAACCCAGTTATTGTTAGCCTCCAGTTTCTGGAGACCTGGGCGAAATTAACATTTACTGTTAACCGTCTGCATAATTATGAACAAGTTCCTTCATCCACAAGCCTTGCTTTCCTCTTCTGTTAAATCAGGGTTTTCGCAATCTAACCCATGTCTACTCTGGGTGGCTGGATGATCCAGCATCCTCACTATGAAAAGTCTACAGATGGTTAACATATATGAGTTTCACATATGACCCAACCTCCAAGGAAAGTGGCTTGCATTTCCTGTCAGCTTCTAAGACTCACTCCCGCACTCTGAAAAATGTGCCTGGGAGTGAGTCTCAAGCTCCAAGTGCATAGCTGGGCAAGACAGGGGAAGGTCCCAAAGTTGGGGCAGTGGGAGGATGAAAGAGAGAGGACAAAGGAGCTGCAGCCAAAAATCCCCATGGCTTTCTTCCTGCTTTGCTTTGGGGCAGGAAGCGGTGGAAAGCTGCAGAGAATTAGTCTGACAAAGGACCTACTTAGTCTCCCACATCTGCTCCCCAGAGGTGGATCTGCAGCAGCCTCGAAAACTCGAATTCTGAGGAGTGCCCACCATGCACTTCATTGGGCAGGGCTCACAGGCTCTTCAGAGTCAGCCCAATGTGGGAAACGTTTGGGGTCAGGCTTGTCCGTGCCCTCAAGGTTACTTTCTGTGCCTCTGTTTTCCCATCTGAAGTATGGGGATAATAGTCATGCCTTCTCAGAGTACTGTAGGAAGAACTGGGTGTTCTCAGAGCTCAGCAAAGCCTGATGCGGAATGAGTGCTGTGGGAAGGGGACTTTGTATCGTGTTCTTGCAAAACTGATGTTGTCGGGGCTGGAGAGATGGCTTGGTGGTTAAGAGCACTAACTGCTCTTCCAGAGGACCTGGGTTCAATTCCCAGAACCCACATGGCAGCTCAAAACTGTCTGTAATTCCAATTCCAGGGGATCTGAGACCTTCACACCAATGTACATAAAGCAAAATTAACTAGATCATAAAAAATTCTTTAAAAAAAAAACCTGATGCTGTCTAGCAAGTTGGGTGGAGTCTGTCACATCTTACGTAACATGTCAAGACCTTTTCTCCCCCCACATCTTGCAGTCCTGTCTTGCCGCACTCATGCATCCATGTATGCATCTGTTTATTTAACATGCACGTAGGCAGTATATGGTAGCATAGCGTGGCAGACGGTCCCTGAAATCTTCCTAGAAGGGCATCAGAAGCTCAGGGTCATTCTTCACTGCAAACTGAGTGTAAAGCCAGCTTGGGCTTTATAAGACCTCATCTCAAAAAACAAACAAACAAACAAACAAAAAAACCCCAAAACAAAAAACAATAGCTTTTGTTAGCCTCCAGTTTCTGGAGCCATAGGTCCACATTAGCGTCTGCCCCTAATTGGGTATATAATCATGAACAAGTCACTCACATTTACTTACTATCTGTAGGCCTACTTCTGAGTGCTCTGAATCTTGCTACCAGGACACAAACACTGCAGTTAGGGGTGGGAGCCAGACGAGTGTGTACCCCGGACCACACAGCTCTGAGTCCTTGATTCCAGGCTCCCTTCCTGCAGGTTTGTGCTCCAAATCTAGATTTAGAGAATTCCTTCCTGCTGGACCCCAGCTCTCTCTCACCTCCACTTGGTCAGAAGCAGATCCTCCGAAGCCCCAAGCTGAGCTGTTTTCTGTTGCCCTCCACAGGATCTTTGTCAATTCCTCCCGAATTCTCCTGACCACAAAGACCCACCCTGGGGTTTTCCTTGCATGGAGAAGCCCAGTCTGGAGGTAACCCGTGGAGAATGCAGCTATGGGCCACCCAGAGCATTTGTCTCTTTAGCAGTAGAGCACAGGGTACCTGGGGGTAGAGTGACAAATCGCTTGTGATGGGTGCCAATCCTAGGTCTTCTAGGTGCCTAGACTGCCTTCCTCTGGTTCGGGGGACTGAGACAAGCCCTTTGTGGGGCTCAGATTCCCTGCCTGCTGGAACGGGGCAGTAACAAAAACTCTGGAGCAGGTCCTCAGGTGGAGAGGTTATCTCTAGACGACAAGTTGGCCTGCCTGCCTCTCCTCTTGGGCTCATCAGTGGATATAATGGGACAGTAGCTAGGAAAGGTCTCGGGCCACAGAGCTGACTAAGGGAGCAGATGAAGAAACTGGCCACTCCTGTTTTAGCGGTCAGCTCTAGTGTTGTGCCTCCTCCAGGCTGGTGCCCACGCCATGTTGAAACTGGGCTCTGAACTCAACCGGAATCTGGTTAAGAACTTTAAAAACAGGACAGTGGTGGCCTTTTTTTTTGTCAGCACTCAGGAGACAGAGGCAGGCAGATCTCTGTGAGTTTGAGGCTAGATTGGTCTACAGAGCGAGTTCCAGGACAGCCATAGCTGTTACACAGAGAAACCCTTTCTCGAAAAACAAAACAAAGGGGAGGAAAGTCTTTAAAAACAAACATGTATTTATTTAGTGTATGTGTATGCATGTACATGTGCGTGTAGGTCAAAGGACAGATAACTCTTGGAGTCAGCTCTGTCTTACTACATGGGTGATGGGAATAGAACTCAGGTTATTGGGCTTGGAGTTTATGTACCTTTATGTACTAAATTATCATACCTCCTCCCTTCCTTTTTGGGTGTAGGGCCTCAAAACATTAGGTAAGGACTTTCCTCCTCCTCCTTCTTTTTAACAGTCTCGTGTATCCCAGGCTGGCCTTAAACTTGATGTGTAGCCACAGATGACCTTGAATTCATGATCTTCCTGTCTCTACTTCCTCAGAGCTATGTTTACAGTCATGTGCCACCATACCCAATGTATGCCATGTTGGGAATTGAGCCCAGATCATCACACATACTTGGCCAACACTCTGCCAACCGAGCTACATTCTCAACCCTTTATAAACTTGGAGGGGTTGGAAAGATGGCTCAGTGGTTAAGAGCACTGGTTACTCTTCCAGAAGGAGCAGGTTTGATTCCCAGCACCTACCTACACCGCTGCTCACAACCATCTGTAACTCCGATTCAAGGCTTCCATGATACCAGGCACACAAGTCATGCACAGACATACACATAAAATAAAACACGGATACACAGAAAAGTAAAACAATCCTTTTGTTGTTGTTTTTTTGGTTTTGTTTTTTTGTGACAGGGTTTCTCTGTGTAGCCCTGACTATCCTGGAACTTACTTAGTAGACCAGGCTGGCCTCAAACTCAAAGATCCACCTACCTCTGCCTCCCAACTGCTGGGATTAAAGGAGTGCCCAACTTTAAACAATCTTAAGGAAAAAAAAATAGAGTCGCGTGATGGTGGCGCACACCTTTAATCCCAGCACTCAGGAGGCAGAGGCAAGCGGATCTCTGGGAGTTCGAGGCCAGCCTGGTCTACAAGAGCTAGTTCCAGGACAGCCTCTAAAGCTACAGAGAAGCCCTGTCTCAAAAAACCAAAAAGAAAAAAAAAACGAAAAGAAAAAACCCAACAACTTTATTTTGAGGCAGAACTTTCCTACCTTACTCAATTTGGCCTTGATGTGGTTCAGGTCGGCCTTGAACTTTCTTCTCTTTCTGTGGAACCAGTTTTCATCAGGACATTTCTGGACCCAGCCTGAGCATCCTGCTGTGATTGAATGTCTAGGTGACTCCTAAATACCTGTGAGAGATGGGTAGGTCTTGAAGACTGAATCCTCACAATGGGAGTTAATACCCTCATAAGATATGCCCAAGAACTCATTTGTCTCTTCTGCTATTCGAGGGCACGGCAGAGAGTCATCTATGAGCTAGAAGGGGCTTGCTGAGACTCAGAATCTGCCAGAGCCTTGCTCTTAGGTTTCCCAGCCTCTAAAATCGGGAGACAGATTTCTGTAGTTTACAAGTCCGTCCGTCCATGAGATTTGTTCTGGCAGCTCAGACCAAGAAACACCCCAAAGCCACGAAGGCACTACCAGACAGCAATGTGTGTGGCCTCCCCTAGTGTCCTTGATAGTCAACCTTGCCCATCTTGCTCCTTGTCCTCCCCCAGAGAAAGGTGGTGATTGGGACTGGAGCTGGGGAGCAGAAGAGACTTGCTGCTAAGCAGATGTTCCTTTGGGCATGGTGCAACACTCACCTTGTGCCTTCAACTCTTGGGTATGTCTCCCCATCTGCACAGTGAAAGACACAGATCCTGTGACCCTCAGAGACTTCTGACTCTCCAAGCACCAAGGCATGGACCCCTGACTTCTGTCCTCCCCAGACTCGAGCCTTGAAAAATGGAAAAAGCCTATCTCACTGTTGGGGAACTCCATCTGGGCTTAACATACCCCAGATGCTGTCCTGACTCCTGAAACCAAAGGAGGGAGCTGGGAAAGGCCTGTTTCCACAAAGACTCAAGGCCAGGGTCTCCCTTGCAGACGAATGCACAAGGATGGAGATGAAGAACTCCAGGATTGGCAGAGGAACAAGGTCTCCCATGTGGAGAGGCGCGCTCCCCCTCCTCTCCCACAGGCTGGGCCAGATGGTATAGGCAGCTGAGGGGAGGCTCTTTGCTCCTACCTTCCCCATTGGCTCTGTAGGGAACTGGGATTTATTTCCACAGGAGAAATGTGTGGAGGAAAGCCTTTCTCACAAGCAGTCCTGAGGCTCAGGAAATGTTTTAGTCCAATAGAACCACAGCCATAGCATTAGCGAGCCTTTAGCAGGCTGCAAGAGTCTAGAATCTCAGAGGCCCAGCATCTTGGAATGTTAGAGAAATGAGTCACAGGATTTTCGGTTTTGATATCATGTTCTCCAGCATTGTAGCCACTAGGCACATGTGGCTTCAGAGCATCTGGAATGTGACTAGCTCATGTGTTAGAAAGTGTAGAGCACATAGGATTCTGAAGACTTTATATAAAGGAAAGACTTTGAAACAGCTCTTTGGTTCTCTCTCTCTCTCCGTACCGGCCCTCTTCCTCCCTTCCTCCTCTCTGTTTTTGAAAAAGTATCTTGTCTGGTGGTGGTGGTGACACATGCCTTTAATCTCAACACTAGGAAAACAGAGGCAGGCAGATCTCTGAGTCTGAGGCCAACCTGGTCTACAGAGTGTTTCAGGACAGCCAGGGCTACACAGAGAAACCCTGTCTCGAAAACAAACAAACATCAACAACAAAAAGAAGAAGTATCTCATGTAGGCCTTAAACTATTAGCCAATGATGACTTTGAACTTGTGATGCTCCCGAGACTCCCACCTCTGGAGTAAGCCAACACAGTCATTTCATAATTTCTTTATATTAACTACATTTCAAGATGATGCTATTTTGGTCAGTTGGGTAAAATACAACATGTTTACAAGATCGATTTTGCCCATTTCTCTTTATGCTTAAAAATGTGGTTACTGGGTGGTGGTGGTGCACATCTTTAATCCCAAGGCACAGGAGGTATAGACAGGCAGGTCTCTCTGAGTTCGAGGACAGCCTGGTCCACATAGCAAGTTCGAGGACAGCCCAAATCTATAGACCTTGTTTCAAAAACAAACAAGCTGGTTACCAGAGAACTTAAAAATTTATGTGTGGGGGCTGGAGAAATGGCTCAGTAGTTAAGAGCACTGGCTGGTCTTCCAGAGGACTTGGGTTCAATTCCCAGCACTCATATGGCAGCTCACAAGTGCCTATAACTCCACCTCCAGGAATCCAACACCCTTACATAGACATACATGCAGGCAAAACACCAAATCACATGACATTAAAAATCATTAAAAAAGTTTATATGTGGTCTGCCTGCATTATATTTATTCTTTTTTCAAAATTATGTATATATGCATTTTTTTTAGGTATGAGTTCTCTGTCTGCATGGATGCCTATATGACAGAAGGGGACATCAGATCTCATTATAGATACTTGTGAACCATTATGTGGTTGCTGGGAATTGAACTCAGGACCTTTGGAAGATCAGTCAATGCTCTTAAGCCACTGAACCATCTCTCCAGCCCTATATTTATTCTTTTAAGAGTATGCACGTGTGTGTGTGACATATATTAAACTTTTTTTTTGGGATAAAGTCTTTCATTAAACCCGTGACTTTTCTATTGGTTAAGAGTGGCTGGTCCTGGGAGCTTCCTGTGTCTGTCCCCTCAACCCCACCCCAACCTGCACTGGTATTACAGGCCCAGGCCTCTTTTGAGGTGGGTGTTGGGATTTGAACTCAGGTTCTCAAGCTTGCAAAGTGAGGACTTTACCCACTGAGCCACCCCCACCCAGCTCCTTTTCTTCTCCATTCCCTTCCTCCTCTGCCTCTCTCCCCCACCACCCATGACCGAGAATTGAATCTAGGGCCTCACAAGGGCTAGGTTAGCACTCTTAGAACAGAGCTGTATTCTGGGTTGCTTTATGTTTCTAATGACAGGGTAGTTTTAGAACCTGAGACTCCCATGTTAGAACCCAAGACTCATAAGGTCATGGCATTTTAGAACTTTTCGTGTGACCACAACCAAAGGGCCAAGAAGAAAGGTACTTTAGAACTTAAGATGACAGAATTTTAGAGGTAGTTTTCCAAATCTTTACATCAGACTGAGGTTCAAACACTTCTTTCCTGTCACTCATAGGCCCAGCTGGCCTCCTCTCCGGCCTGTTTCTCCCCCCGGAAGCCACTGGTCTCCAAGCTGCAGGGCATCCCCTCAACACATGCCCCTGATGGTGGGATTCAGCCCTCCCACTGGAACTTTCGGCTTCTGATGACCCTCTCTGCTTTCCTTTCTCAGTGGAGCCGGTCCTGGGATGCCAGGAAGGGGTTGGGGTTCTTCAGGCCTCCTCGTCACTTGCCTCAGGTTTTCACCTGGGTAACCAGCTGGTCCTTTGGACTCTCCAGAGCCTACTGGCTGCCGGCTCCGGGAAGACAGGTGATATGTAAACAGTAACACCAATACGGAGAGCTCTGCTGGACAGGATGCTAGAAGTTCCCTAATATCTCACTTAATCTCCACAGCGAGGCTAAGAAGGAAACCACCAATGCTGTCTATCAATAAACAATTGGAGCAAAGGCAAATGACTGTAGGTGAGGGCTCATCCTGGATTCCAAAGAGGACCATTTGGTCTTCAAAGCTGAGCATTAGCAGGAGGGCAGTTTGCAGGGTGTGATGGCATGTGCTTGACTGCTCTATGTGGACATTCCTGTCATGGCCTTCACTTTCCCCTACCTGGTCCCCAGCTCTTACTCCATGGCACATCCAACCCAGACAGGTGGACATATAGAGGGGTCTTGGAATGAGAAAAATGCTCACCTTGAAGCAGGTAAGCTAAACCAAAGGGCTAACCACATTGCTGGTTCCAGAACCAGCTTCCCATCAGGGTCTACAGTGCTCCTCTTCCCATATGGCACCTCTCCAGGCATCCGGGAATTGTGTCTAGTTTTGATCCTGCGGGATCTATGTTCAGTAGGTCTCAAACCGCTGCACCCCTGTGTGCCAGCATCCCATTCACATAGAATAGGTAATCAGAAAACCTGGCAACCAAGGTTTTCTTGGTTTTATGCCATTGGTGTTCTGACAGATTCCTATCCTCCCCGTGTCTTAAGTTTCTCTATTTATTTTGCTTAAAAAAAATAAAAATAAAAATGTTGGGGGCTGGAGAGATGGCTCAGCGGTTAAGAGCACCTGCCTGCTGTCCCAGAGGTCCTGAGTTCAATTTCCAGCAACCACATGGTGGCTCAGAACCTTCTGTAGTAAGATCTGGGGCCCTCTTCTGGCCTGCAGAACACTGTATACATAATGAATAAATAAATTCATAATAAAAAAAAAGGAAAAAAAATGTTGTCAAGCAGTGGTGGCACATGCCTTTAATCCTAGCACTCAGGAGGCAGAGGTTGGTGGGTCTCTGAGTTCAAGGTCAGCCTGACATACATTCCGAGTTTCAGGACAAGCAGGTCTGCACAGTGACACCTGTCACAAAAAAATTAAGAAAAAGTTTATTTTGCATTATGAATATTTTTCCTGCCTGCATCCATGTGCACAGTGTGCATGCCTAGTGCCCATGGAAACCAGAAGAGGTGGGTGTACGATCCATGGGTGCTGGGCACTGAACTCTACATCTCTGTAAAGAGCAGCAAGTGCTCTTCACAGCAGAGCCATCTCTCCAGGCCTCTCCATTTCTTTAAGGAGAACTGGAGTGGTTCAGGAGTCAGAAGCTCAGATGCCAATAGAGTCAAGGGCAATAATGCAAATAAATGACAAGTGCTGGGAAGGGGCGTGGCTTAGGGACGGCGAGCTTGTCGGGTATGTGTGGGGCCCCGTGTCCGTGTCCCATGGCTCGCATCTGCTGTACGGCAAATGAAATGAGGTGGTGTGCGTGCCCAGTGTGTGTCAGGTCCTGGGTTCCAGGGCGTTTGGTTCCCCAGCACTACATAAAAACACATGTGGTGGCATAGGCTATATGTTACCACGTAAGAGGTAGAAGAAGGAGGATCAAAAGTTCCAAGTTACTCTGGACCACACAGCTAGTTTGAAGCCAGCCTTCACTTCATGAGGCTCTGCCTAAAAAAAAAAAAACAAAAAACAAAAAAACAAAAAAAACCTGAAAAAAAGTTGTCAGTTCTGGTTGCCCCAGGGTCCACAGTCTATTGGCTGGGCTCCTCCACCTGGCACTGTCCTCAGGGAACCTTAAACCACTTGCTGATAACATTCACTTAGAAACCTCTGGCCCCTGAGAATGTTTTTCTTTGTCTTTGTCAGATTGTAATTGGAGCATAACAATGGCACCGTTCAAGGGGGAATTAGCGGATTTGCAGAAGCCACGTTTTCTTGCTCGCAGGGTGCTGCTCTTGTTTTCGTCCCCTCCCTCCCACTCATCTTCCAGCTCAAAACAAACTGCAGTTCCTAAGTTTGTTTTCTATCTATTTTCCATTTGCTTAGCAGGTACCAAGCTTCCTCGTCCTTGTCACTGAACAACCTGCCTCCCTTCCCCACCACCAATCGGGTGGGGGTGGGGAAACTGTTACACCGTGTGGTCAAGGCTGTAATTATGGTGACCATGTTCTCCAAACCACAGATCAGGTCACATGGTCCAGCGCAGGCTATTTTCTGTCTCCCCTGCTGTACAGACATGAAATCACATGTAGTTATACATTCATTCATCAAATCACCTTACATTTCTTTTTAAAAAGCAAATGACATGAAATTTGGATTAGCCTTGGTAAATCCCACTATCTTCATAGGAAATCATTAAAACTGTGATGGGGCCTGCACAGACCTCTAGGCAGAGCGAGGTTTCCTGGATGAGGTGCTGTGGACAGTA